GTGTGTATGTGTATGTGTGTGTGCATAATTTAATATTTCTTAATTAAATTTTGTGTATTTCATACATAAAATCATCTTTATAGCCCCTTCTTCATTCCTCTTTGGCACCCTTGCATAGCCCCCCCACTGGGGCTCATACATACTGTCATTTGTATTAAGGCCTATTATGTAAAGTCAGTGTTCTGAGATGTACCTTAATGCAAGTTCATCCACCAGGGTTTAGTCAGCCTATAGATAGTGTCTCTGTTCAAGAAGGTCAGCTCTTCCTCATCTAGCTGCCAAAAATTCTTCTTGCTGTTCATTTCCACAGTTCTGTGCTGGGTTTTTGTCTGCCTTAGTTTGTGTTGATCTTGTGCATGGTGACACTGTTGCTGTAGGTTTGTATGAAAAGTGTCTCAGGCACCTGTAGGACTATTTCCATATGGTCATGCACCCCCTCCCTGGCTCTTAAAATCTTTCTGTCCCCTATTCCACAATGGCCCCTGAGCCCTCATGGATGGACCTTAATATAGGAGTCCTGTCCAAGGACCCACCCTCTGTTGACTCTTATTCTCTGTGTTTTGGCCATTTGTGGTCTTTTGTGTTCCTGGCCCTCTGTTGTATGAGGGAGCTTCATCGATGAGAATTGGAAGATGCTTTAGTGTTGTCTTCATCCCTTGTTCTATGTTCCATGAGTCTTAGGTGTAGAGGTTGCATCCTAGATTTGCACTTAGGCTTGGGAAATTCACAGAGAATCTTTGTGTGTGACCAGTAGTATAATTCTGTAATAATCTTTGTTGGAAAAGAAGCTGCTTTAATGGGTGGTGACAGGGATATTTGTCTGTAAATTTAAGGACACATATTTTGCACATGAGAAATTACACTTGTCTAGGGATAAGAGTGCCTTGGGGTTTTCTCTAAGAGCTATGGCCTCTCCAGCCATGTGTATTTGGCTGGTTTACATTACTAGACATGAGATTCCTCCCATGGAATGGGCTTTAAGTCCAATTAGGTAGCTGTTGATTACCCCCAAGGTAAAAATGCCATACTGCATCAACGTCCTTTGATATGCTGGTCACTGATGTGGCTTTTAGGCCTTGAAGCTAGGGTTGGAGCAGCAATTGATATTCTACCTTACCAGCTTGTGTACCGCTCTCCAAAGTTATGAGAGCTAGCCTTCAGGGGAGGTGGCTTCCAGGTCAGTTCCAGCTCCATTGCTCCAAATCCTGTGTCCAAAGTACATCCTGCTTTCGTCAATAGGGTTTTATCATCAAGTTCTGGGAAGCAGTCAAGGAATGTGTCAATAGCCTGTGTAATTTTGAGAGGATCTTGGACTACCTTGGCCAACCTGAAAGGAAGGTTTCACCTGTCTGGCACTGTTTCTTGTTATATACTCTTCAGTTATACTCATGGACACATGTAAGGATATTGTATAATTTTTCAGTAGGTTTTTGGGCTAATATGATTCCCCTTGGTTTTTCTATGCCTGCTAGGCACTCTTTATGCCTCCTCTTTCTCTCCCTGTCTTACCGTCCCTCCTTGCTCTTCCCATTAATGTCCCCATTTTCCCCATTTCTCCCTTGATAAGTTTCTTTAAATTATTTAATAACCATATGATTAGAAGAAGCATTTCATTACAGCATTAACATATTCAATATCATTACAGCATTAACATATTCAATAACAACTTCCAGAGCAAAGCTACATCTCTTTCAAAATTGGCTGCAAATGTTTAGGTTCACAGTTGAATTAATACAGTTATATAATATTGAACTCAATTTAAACCTCATAAGGCATAAAATTGAATGAGATTTTAACTTTTAAAAAGGATCTCCATTATTTCATTTTAAAATCTACTGTTTCATACAGAAAAACTCATTTTTAATGCTACTAACACATAGATGTTTGCACATGAGTCTCTAATCTCTATGTATCTGATCATTACTAGTCACAGTTGGTTACTTTCTGAGATCCTTGGCACCTGAGCATGGATATAAAGTCATCAGATAGATTTCAATGGTAATGTGTTTCATCTCTACTAATTAACATAAAGCAAAATTTTATGTTTCTTCCTCAAATATAACTCATTTTTTAATTTGTTGATTTTTTTGTGTACATTTCATACAGAACATCCCAAACAATCTTATTCATCTATATACCTGCAGCCCACATGGCATACCACCATAGTCTCTTCCCCCAACTGGAACCCATATACTCTGTAATTCCTGTTCCTCTCCACTGTGTGGAGGGTGCCCCCAGCCATTCCCTAGTGCTTGTCCATCCACTGAATCTTGTCAGCCTATCTAGAGTTCCTTATTTTAGGAAGATCAGCTCTTGCTTATCTAGCAGCAACCAGTTGCCAATATTCCTTTAGATAAGATTAGGGTCTGCTGTTCATTTTCCCAGTTCTATGCTGGGTTACTGTTTGGGAGTCTCTTGGGCCATCCTGGCCAACAACTCAAAGGAAGATATCTCCAGTCTGGCATTGTTTTTTGTTATGTAGCTTTTAGCTATACACATGGACTCTTTTTAAAAATATTTCATTAGTTTTATTTTATGTGTACAGGGTATTGCCTGCATGTATGTGAGTGCACCCATGTCGTGCAATGTCGTGGAGGTCAGAAGAGGGCTTCAGATTGCCCTGGAACTGGAGTTAAGGATGGTTCATAGCCATCATGTCGGTGCTGGGAATTGAAGCCGGGTCCTCTGCAGGAGCAGTCAGTGCTCTTAACCCATGAGCCATCTCTCCAGCATGGACTCTTAAAGAATTACATTGATCCCTTTAATCTTTGGTTATACTTTCCTTTTGGGTGTGTAAGACCATAGAGTTGGCAAACAAAAACCAATTTATTTTTACTCTTAAGGTCCTTTGAGGATCTGTTCCTCGGGGGTCATATGGGCTTGGAAGGAACCCCTGGCTTCTTTTACCAGTTTCAACTATGTGAAGATAAGTCAAAGGTCCTGTTTGACCATGGAAGGCTTCACTTTGAAGCATGGAGGAAATGTTTCCTCTGAGTTGACCCTCCTCTTTATAGACTGAGCACTGGTTCAAGTCCATTTGGTGGGTCTCCATTGCCTCCTTGATCAAGAGGACATGTGACATACTACAGTTACAGGACATTTTGAGAGATGATCATAGTCCTCTGGAGCTTAGTTGATCTAGGAGGGCAAGGAGCAAAAACTCTCCTTTATATCCCTCTGACCAAATTAGTATAGACCTCAAAGTATGGCTGTTAGACATCCAAGAAGGTTAGTTCCACTAGTCTGGTACTTTTAATGATCTGTTATGTAGATAAAGCTTAGATAAACCTTGACTAGACGTGTATTATATTCCTTGAGCTATTTGTATGTATAATTTGTCAGGAGGTTGTTCGATTTATGTGGCTCCCTCTGGGTTTTAAAACTACCTTTGCCTCATTTATCTCTCACATTAACCCTTCCACCATAGTTTCCCCATTTAAAGTGCCCTTATTTTTCCCATTTCTTCCTTAATATCTTTCTCTTATGGTCCCACTTCTCTTGAGCTCTCTCTTTCCCTTTATCCCCAAGGATCCTTGTAAAATCCTCCCTTCATCTCCCCTTAAAATAACTCCATTTTTATCCATATCACTACCTGTTTCCCACTGTCCTTCTCTTTCTAATTATTTCTTTTCCTTTACCTCCCAGGTTCCTTTTCATTATCCTATTTCCTGGATACATTGTCATTTATAAGGATTTGGTGCTAGGATCCACATATGAGGGAGAATGTACTTTTTTTTTTGTCTTTTGCTTTTTCTGAGTCTGTGTTACTTCACTAAGTATAACATTTTCTAGTTCATTCATTTACCTGCAAATTTCATGATTTCATCTTTCTTTACTGCTGAGGATAACACCATCATATACATGAACCACATTCTCATTACCCGCTCATCAGCTGAGGGACACTTAGGTTGCTTCCATCTCTTAGCTATTGTGAAAAGAGCAGCAAGAAACATGGATGTACAAGTGTCTCTGCAATAGGATGAGTTCCTCGGGTATATGCCAAAGAGTGGTTTAAGTGGGTCAAATGGTAGGTTCATTTGTAGTTTTTTAAAGAGTTCTCCACACAGCTTTCCATAGGGGTTAAACAAGTTTGCAATTGCCCCAGCAGTGGATGAGCATTCCCCTTTCCCCACATCTTCTCCAACATTTGGTATCATTTATTCTCTTGATTTTAGCTAGTCTGACTGAGGTAAGATGAAATCTTAAAGGGGTTTTAGTTTGCATTTCCCTAATTATTAGTGATGTTGAACACCTTTTAAGATGCTTCTTAGTCATCGTTATTTCTTCTTTTGAGAACTCTCTGTTCAGCTCCCCAGCCTATCTTTTAATTAGGTTTCTTCCTTTCTTGACTCTTTGTTTTTTTGAGTTCATTATATATTCCAGATGTTAAACCTCTGTCAGATGTATTGCTGGTGAAGATTTTCTCCCATTTTTGTGGGTTTTCTCTTCATTTCCTTGTTTGCTTCTTTT